GCATGCACCATCAACGCCTGTGCCGCCCACCAACTCGCGACCTCGCGGATGATGCGTCGAGAGTGTCGATGTCCAGAAGCCCGCGACCCCGCGCCAACAGCCGCGAGCTCGCGAAGGGAGCCGTGACCTCGAGAGTGTCTTTTTAATTGTGCGTTTTGGCTAGACTATATATATTTTGTTCATTTGCATTTTGAATATCCAACTCTCATTATTTCATATTTCCCTTTTGGGAACTAGCTTATGTTTATGTTATGTTCTCTAGATCCTAGTTCATGCTATTTTCCGGGAGATTTTCCAGCGACTTTGTTTTCTTTCAAGTTTCGGCTTTTGACTCCGTTTTTCATCGTCTACGCAATGGAAGGATGAGTATTTAGTTTTAAACCTCTTTACTTCGATTTTTGCTCCGCTTTTACTTATAATGTTTGCATTTTGAATATCCAACTCTCATTATTTCATATTTTCCTTTTGGGAACTAGCTTATGTTTATGTTATGTTCTCTAGATTAGGAGTTCATGCTATTTTCCGGGAGATTTTCCAGCGACTTTCTTTTCTTTCAAGTTGCGGTTTTTGACTTCGTTTTTCATAGTCTACGCAATGGAAGGATGAGTATTTACTTTTAAATCTCTTTACTTTGGTTTTTGCTCTGTATTTACTTATAATGTTTATTAAGGTAAATTTGAGTTTGATTGATGATGGAGAGAATGCCTGGACTTGATTGCTTTCTTGAATAGATAGAGGAGTTAATTTCTTGTTGATCTTGTTAAGGATTAAGACCCGATTAGGGCTTAATCACTTAGGGTTAGACTTCTAGGGTTAGCAATCTAATGCTCATAGCTCGTATATTCTTATGTCGATTGATTATCATCTCGTTGTGGTTATGGCATGAGACTCTGATGATCTAGTTTGCTACTTGCTCGTGATTTGATATTGCTCTGTTAATTGCTCGTTTTCAAGTGCTCGTTTAGTGATAATCAACCCTCCAATCAATTGCTTAGAATGTTTAGGACTATATTTTCTCTTTATGTGATTTGGACAATCAACTAGTAAGTGAAGCTCCGAATAACCTTCGCTCGAGATCGACCCGAGTCGGATAACTCGGTTATCCCTTGCCCACCAATTCATTACGAAACAAGGGGCAGCTGCAGACGGCGACTGAGGATGTCGGAATATATACATATATATATA